AGAGAGTTCCCAGCACTGGGGGAGCAACGGAGAAGACCGGTTGCACCGCGAGGGGAACAATGGCATGGGCAAGTCTCGAAGCCTCAGCAGAAACAGAACAAAGGAACACAACAAGCCCGGATCAGGGACGCCGCTCAAGGAGCTGCAGCTACTCAGCACCAGACAGGACACCAGCAAGGGACTTCCCGTCCGAGTCAGTCCCCACCCGAATGCAGCAGGAAGCAGGCCGCGGCACCCAGTCAGATGGCACAGAGAGCCACGGAGACCTGCGTGACCTGCGGGTCAGCAGCGGCAACGATCGCGGGAGTGGGCCAACAACCACAGGCCACAGCCAAGGAAGCACTGTCCCCCCAGAGGGAGGGCACCTCGCGGGTTCACATTGTCACCATAATCAAGCTTGTGGTAGAGGTGCTATCCATGCTACTCCCATCAATGCAGGACAGGCAGGTCTGCAAGGAGCTCCTGACTTCCGTGTACAGCATGGCTCTCCTGGAGAGGGTCGACTCAGCAGCCCTGAAAGACCACCTCACCCAGGTCTTCACGCCCGAGGAAGTGGTAGAACACGCACGGATGTTCCGGAGAACCGTGGCCGAACGGTTGGAGATGGAGTCCGACGGGTCGCCCGACAGTCCCTAAAAATTCTCCAGTGGAACATCTGTGGTCTAAGGCAGAAACTCCACCTAGCTATCCAGGCGGCAGTCCAGGATGAGATAGATGTGTTTTTGTTCCAAGAAACCCTTGCCAAGCCCCCACCCACCCCACAGCCACGCATCCCTGGGTTCTCTGCATACCTGCAGCGTGGTGGGCCCCCCGCCAGGGGCACCACAATCTATGTGCGGAATTGCATCCCCCACTCAATCGTCACTGACCCTATCAACTGCAGTGAAGGGGTGGAGGTGCAAGCTGCCATGCTGCGACTGCCATCTGGACCACTGACTATTTACAATGAGTACCGGAGCACACGGTTTACTCTCGACCTCTCGGAGGTTGCAGCTCTGTCCATATCTCGCCTCGAGGGCGTGCTCGTGGCGGGGGACATCAACGCCCATCATGAGCTTCTCCGCTCTGTCTCCCATACCAATGAGACGGGCAGGCACTTGGCGGCTGTGCTCGATGATGTTCCTGAGGTCGTCCTCCTCAACAATGGGGAGCCGACACACCACGGCGGCAACCGACTGGATGTCACTCTCCTCTCTCGGAGACTGCAGCCTGGAGTGAGGTGGTAACTCCACCCACTTCTCACCAGCGACCACTTCGCGATCGTCACCACGCTGGCGCTCACCCAGCACATCCCATACACACCGCCTCCACGGTGGAATTTCAAGAAGGCGGACTGGCAGTGCTTCCAGGATGTCATACAGCAATGGTGGGAGACGACCTCCCTCTCTGACAATCCTGATGCGGCTGCCCAGAACCTCCAAGCTGCCGTCACCCATGCGGCCGAGGTGGCCATCCCACTTACCAAGGCTGGAGGCACCATCAAGCGGGACTGGTGGTTCTACGACGAGACAGTCAAGGAGCAGAACCACCGTGTCAACTGTGCCCGCAGGCTCCACAGATGCAACCCTACTGCTGACACCCTTCGGCTGCTGAGAGAGGTGGTGCGGCACGCTCGCCACATCTCCCGCCTGGCAAAGTGGTTCGAATGGTGTGCCTCCTTCGACCATGCCACTACCCTGTCTGAGATCTGGGCGAAAATAGGTATAGCTACCGGAAAACGCAGAGGAACAGCGCGTGCTCACCATGACCTGGCTGGTGAAGCAGAGAGGCTGGTCGACCTCTTCACTTCCAGGGCGCAAGAACAGCCGCCTGCCACAAGAGATGGTGGCAGAACTCCAGGGTGTCCTCCTCCCAGACAGGACTGCCAGGCTACAGGCTGCATGCTGTGAACATGATGACACCGATGTAGACTTCAGCGACCGGGAGCTGAAGGCAGCCTTCAGGACATCACAGGACACCACCCCCGGCCAGGATGGCATCACCTACAGCATGATCGCAAGGGTGGGCCCCTCTGGACATGATGCACTCTTGGAGGTCATCAACTGCTCCTGGAGGGCTGGACAACTCCCCACTGCGTGGAAGGAGGCCATCATCCTGCCCATCCCCAAGCCCAGGGACCCGGAAAGCATGAGGCCCATCTCTCTCACCAGCTGTCTGTCCAAGATGGCTGAGAGGATGATCCTTGAGCGACTACGGTGGAAGCTTGGCCCGGAACACCGTCACATATACGGCTTCACACGAGGAGTGGGCACAGCAGAGAGCATCACCACCCTCCTGCAGGCATTGGGTCAAACAAGAGACCCAAAATTGTTGTCTTCCTGGACCTCGAGAAAGCCTTTGAGCTTGCCAGCGCACCAGCCATCCTTGACCTCCTAGCATGCAGGGGCGTGAAGGGAAGGCTCCTTGCCTGGATCTCTTCAATACCTGCAGGCAGGTGTGCACGAGTGCGTTTCCAGGGACAGGTGTCCACCCTCAGGCCCCTTGAAAACGGCACCCCGCAGGGAGGGGTCCTCAGCCCCGCTCTCTTCAATGTCCTGATGCATGAGCTGGTGCAGCTGCCATTCTCTTTAGGCACCCAGCTGCTCAGCTACGCTGATGATCTTGCCCTCATCATCACCGAGAGATGCGGTTTGATGCATAGAGCCCAATGTGACCTTAACCTCCTCTCCACCACCTGCCATCGTCTCGGCCTAAGGTCTCAGCAGAAAAATCCAAGGCCATGATCCTGCACGCCAAAGTGCCGGAGGGGAGACTGCAGATGTCAGGAATCAATCTCGACTGGGTCAGTAGCTGCCTGTACCTGGGAGTGCACATCGACAATCGGCTCTCCTTTCGGAATCAGTCGGAGTACGTCAGAGAGCGGACCATGCAACGGGTCACCGCCATGCGGGCCCTCGCCAGCCCTAGGTCGGGGGCCAGCCGTGACATTCTCCGATTATTCTATGTGCAGGCGGTGCGCTCTCTCATCGACTATGGGGCACTTACCCTCGTCCATGCCCGCCCAACGCACCTTCGAAGACTCGACGTCGTCCAAAATACTGCAGCTCGGATCATGTTGGGGGCGCCGAGGTGGACGAACACTGTGCCCCTGAATCATGAGGCTCAACTGCAGCCGCTACGCGACAGAATCGCCCTTGTGGCAGCCAGGAGGGTGGCCAAGTACGTACAACTCCCCGGTGGAGAGGGACTGCTGCAACACCTCCTTGAATGGCAACAGGGAGACCTCAGGGAGTCTCCTGGCCGGCTGTGGGTGTGGTCAGCGGCTGATGTAGCAAGCAAACTCCTCTCCATGGCGCTTATCGTGGACAAGGGCTGTGACCGGCCTGTGGCGGGGTACTCTGTACTCCCGCCCTGGGCACCAGAAGCAGTTGTGATCCACATCCAAGACCTCCCAGTTAGCAAGTGTCACTGTCCACAACACGTGCTGCAGCAATGGGCTGCAGTGAGTATTGCAGCAGCAGAGCACCCTGGGTGCGCCGTATATTACGCCGATGGCTCCCGGGATCCAGAGGCTGGCCGCACAGGTGCCGGGGTGCACCATGCCACCCTGATGGCTGGATGGCGTCTCCAGGATCACTGCACAATTCTCCAGGCAGAACTCCATGCCATCCAGAGGGCCCTGCAACACGCGCTCCTGGATCATCGGCGACCCCCAGTCATTCACGTAGACTCCAGAGCAGCGATTCAGGCCATCATGCACAGGGAGCCCAGGGACAACATCCGGCTAATTACTGCCATCAGGAAGGACCTGCAGACACTTAAGGAGCAGGGACAGCAAGCAACAATCAACTGGATACCGAGCCACATCGACCTCGCTGGGAATGATGCGGCGGATCGCGCGGCGAAGTCAGCAACCCTTGAAGCCCAGCCAGTGACCACCATTGCTATCAGCCGCAGGCAGGTGGATCTGTGGGCAGCTGATGCAGCCAGGCGCCCGCTACCAGGGCCAGGCACATCGCGGAGCCGGATCTGGTATGACAGGGCGACCCGTGGGGAGCCCCCGCCGAGCATGTGGAGGCTAGACAGGAAGTTGCAGGTTGGGGTCCACCGGCTGCGACTTGGCTACCTTACTGCCAGAAGACTCATTGACCGCGTGCGAGAGGAGCGCTGCTGCCATTGCAACCAGATGGTCCCAGGGCCACTAGTGCACTACCTCCTCGACTGTCCAGCGATGGTGCCACTCCGACGAAGGCACTTCCCAATGGCGCCTGGGGACCCGAACCGAGAAGACACCGCTGGTGAACCTCGCCACCCGAGACCTGGGAACTCTCATCCCCATCCTGGCTGCCCACCCACCACCTCGATGACGCCGCCACATACAACTACGAGTCGACACTACTCTCCATCTATCACCTCTCCTACTCTTCCTTCTTTCACTCCCCTACCTCCCCCCCCCCCCCCCGCTTTAAAAAAAAAAAATCCAATGGAGCCTGTACCGCTTTCTAGGTAAAAGTCTGAATCACCTAGAACCAATGCCACACTACCAACATTTGACGGGGCAACAAGTGCCTGAAGACCCTCGACCTTGCGATGCCTGCCGAGGAAGCCCAAGTGGACGCCTGCTGATGAAGACCAAGTGACGCCTGCTGATGAAGTCGAGAAGCAAGAAGACACTCCCCTCCGGGGAGTCGCCGCAAGAAAGAAGAAGATGTTACCCTCCAGCCGGAGGGCCCAAGAAAGAAGACAGAAGAAAGAAGAAGATGACGACACCCCCAACCGGGGGCCACAGCCGGGTCACCATATGGAGAAGACCCGGGCCGGAAGTACCGGCAAACCTCTAATGAATGAATGATGAACTGGAAAGTCACTACGAGTGGAACAAGTCACTATGAGTGAAACAAGCCATTATCAGTGAAAAAAGTCACTATCAGTGGAACAAGCCACTATCAGTGGAACAAGTCACTATCAGTGGAACAAGTCACTATCTGTGGAACAAGTCACTATCAGTGGAACAAGTCACTATCAGTGGAGGACATACTATCAGAAGCAACAATATTTACCTGGTTGTTCTTCTCAGTGTTCTCTACTAGTGTCATCTTCTGGTTCACTCTCTTCTCAAGTTCTTGTAACTTCTCCTTGTGTTCCTCCATTTCCTTGGTCTGAGAAAATCATTTATTAATTACTTTTTTGGTTAATGCATTTATTAATAAAGCATTGTATACATATTAATAACAAATATGAGAAACAAATTAATAAAGGAGATCACATGGTTATTATAACTGTGCTTGAAGACTTTGTCTCTATAGGAAGACCCCGCTTTACAGTGCTTCACTTGACAGTGTTTCGCTAATATATACAGCGGTTTTTCAATTATACCCATTCCTCATTTATTCAGACTTCCTATAATAGGTATATTCGCTAATCACTATGAGCTAACGACAAAAATATTTTAAGTAATGTGTGTACTGTATATGCAATTTTTAGGCCCATCTATATTGCTCACTTAATACAGTAGGGCCCTGCTTTACGGTGTTCCGCTAATATGGACATTTCAAATTATGACCAAAACTTGCTATATGGCTCCCCCCACCTGACTTTCTAATATGGTCACCGTGCCCCATCTGACTTGCTTACATTCTCCGTGAGCTCAGTAAGCACCACGTCTCTCCATTATGTCTGGAAACTCCAAAATTTTGAGTGTTTCTAAAGGTTATTTTCTAGTATTTTATTATTATTATTATTATTAACACATCACCTGATTCCCACAAGGCCTGAAAAAGAAAAACTTTCAACATCATTCGCTCCATCACTGTCTTGCCAGAGGGGTGCTTTACACTACAGTTATAAAACTGCAACATTAACACCCCTCCTTCAGAGTGCAGACACTGTACTTCCCATCTCCAGGACTCCAGTCCGATCTGCCGGTTTCCCTGAATCCCTTCATAAATGTTACTTTGCTCACACTCCAACAGCACATCAACTCCTAAAAACCATTTGTTTCCATTCACTCCTATCAAATACGCTCACGCATGCTTGCTGGAAGTCCAAGCCCCTCGTACACAAAACCTCCTTTACCCCCTCCCTCCAACCCTTCCTAGGCCAACCCCTACCCCGCCTTCCCTCCACTACAGATTTATGCACTCTCGAAGTCATTCTGTTTTGTTCCATTCTCTCTACATGTCCGAATCACCTCAACAACGCCTCCACAGCCCTCTGAATAATAGTTTCAGTAATCCCACACCCTCTCCTAATTTCCAAATTATGAATTCTCTGCATTATATTCACACCACACATTGCCCTCAGACATGACATCTCCACTGCCTCCAGCCTCCTTCTTTTTTTATTTATTTATTTATTTATTAACAATTTGAGCACACATACAGAGGTACAAAAAAATACAGATAAGAGCAGCATGCCAAAGCCACTTATACTATGCATAGCATTACGGGCTGGCTTAAAATTAACTTAAGATTAACTAAGCAATGATGAAATCAGTGATAAAACATTAATGTAAACAGATTACTATAAAGCACAAGTGAGTATTACAAAGACAGGTCATATGGTTGCATGCACTGTTGTACATTCAGTCGTATGAAGTATTCTGTTAGGTAGTGTATTTAAAAAATAATAAAGTTAGATTCGGTTTTAGGTTTAACATTTATGTGATTATAATTGTGAGAAACATTTAAGATATACAATTTATAAGGTTCAGTTATTCAGTATTTATTTGGTTTTGGGTGAGTAAGTGATCTTTGAGAAGAGACTTGAATTTATAAACAGGTAGTGTTTCTTTTATATTTACAGGTAATGAATTCCAGATTTTAGGGCCTTTTATGTGCATTGAGTTTTTGCATAGTGTGAGATGGACACGAGGAACATCAAGAGTGATCTGTGCCTTGTGTTTATGGTCATGTGTTCTGTTGAGGTTGGCAAGGAGATGTTTGAGGGGAGGGTTAATATCAGAGTTAAGTGTTCTATGTATGTAATAGGTGCAGTAATAAGTATGGATGTTTTGTATGGTGAGTAGGTTTAGTGTATTGAATATTGGTGGAGTGTGCTGCCTGTAGTGAGAATTTGTTATCATTCTAACTGCAGCCTTTTGCTGGGTAATTAGTGGTCTGAGATGGTTAATTGTTGTTGAGCCCCATGCACAAATTCCATAGGTGAGATAGGGGTAAATAAGAGAGTGATATAGGGCCAGGAGGGCTGACTGTGGAACATAGTACCGTATCTTCGATAGTATGCCTACAGTCTTGGAAATTTTCTTAGAAATTTGTTGTATATGTGTATGAAATTTGAGTCTATTATCAAGGTGGATTCCTAAGAATTTTCCCTCTGTTAGCTTTGTGATAGGTGATCCGTTTATCATTATGTTAAGAGGGACATCTGTAGCTCTGTTACCAAACTGAATGAAGTAGGTTTTGTCAATGTTTAGTGTAAGTTTGTTAGTCCTCATCCAGGTAGATATTTTCTGTAATTCGGTATTTACAGTATTGGCTAGTGTGACTGGGCTCGGGTGAGAGAAGACGTATGTAGTGTCATCTGCAAATAGTGTGGGTTTGAGTAATTGTGAAGCATTTGGAAGGTCATTTATGTATAGGAGAAAGAGAAGAGGGCCAAGGACACTTCCCTGTGGGACACCAACTGTAATTGGTTGCGCAGAAGAATTTGCCCAATTTGCGTACACATATTGGCTTCTGTTGTTGAGGTATGACTTGAGGTAGTTGAGGGAGTGCCCTCTTATACCATAGTGTGACAATTTTACGTGGAGCAAGTCATGGTCAACTGTATCAAAAGCTTTACGTAAGTCAATGAAGATCCCCAGTGGGACTTCTTTTTTCTCTATTGCAGTGTATATATGTTCTAGGTGTATAATAGCATCATTAGTATTTTTATTAGGCCTGAATCCAAATTGGCAGGGGTTGAGTATGTTTTGGGAGATAAGGTAGGAGTAGATTCGTTTATGAATTAATTTTTCGAAGATTTTTGAGAGAGGGTGTAAGTTGGATATTGGCCTATAGTTATTCAACTCTGTTTGGTCTCCTCCTTTGTGGATCGGGGTGACCCTTGCTATTTTGAGTACTGTAGGGAAGGTGGAGGATTCAATGGATTTGTTAAAGAGTGTTGCAATGATTGGTGATAGCACTTGTGACACTTTTTTGTATATAAAGGGTGGTAAGGTATTTAAATCTCCTGCCTTGTTTTTTAGTGCGTTGATAATAAGGGAGACTTCGTATGGGTTAGTCGGAGCTAGGAACAGTGTGTTCGGGTAGTTGCCGGTGAGGTAGTCATTTGGTGGGGTATCTGAGCTTGGGATTTTATTGGCAAGGTTTTGTCCTATAGTGGAGAAGAAATCATTGAGTCTGTTTGCTGTTTCTGTTGGTGGGAGTTGGGGTTCATCTGATTTTGCTAATTTTATTTCGCTATTTCGTGATATCTTTTTTGTTCCCAGAATTTCTGATAGGGTTTTCCAGGTCTTTTTTATATCACCTCGTAAGTTGGATAATCTGTTCTCATAATACAATTTTTTTGCCCTTCTTATCAGGCTGGTTAGGATTGACGAGTAACGTTTTGTTTGGTCTCTGGTTATGTGACCCATTCTGTACTGTTTTTCATATTGGTGTTTTGTATTTATGGATTTGAGAATGCTGGGTGTTAGCCAGGGACTGTTCAGTCTCTTAGCTGTCATCTGTTTAGTTTTTTTAGGGCAGTGCTTGTTATAGAGGTATTGGGTCTTTTTTAGAAAATTATTTATACATTCGTCAATATCTGTATAGATTTCTAGCTCAGTGTGCCAATCAATGTTTGCTACTGCTGTTGTGAAGTTATTAATGGCTGCCTCATTGTGAAGTCTGAAGGTGACTTTAGTAGTGTCTTGGGGTAGTTTACCAAGAGTTGTTATGAGGAAAGTAGGGTAGTGGTCTGTGGTATTATCTGTAATTATGCCTGATTTTAAAGGGGATATGGTGTTGGTCCAGATGTGGTCAAGTAGGGAAACACTAGTCTCTGTAACTCTTGTAGGTTTTGTTACTGTTGGTAGTAACATGCAGTTACTCATTGTGTTTGTGAATTCAGTAACGTGTGGGTCCTGGTCTTGCAGGAGATTTATAATGAAGTCACCTGAGAGTAGTAAGTGATCTTTGTTCATGCGTGCATCAGTTATCATACTTCCTAGGTTTTGACTAAATTGGCTAATGTTTGACTGTGGAACTCTGTAGATGTTTATCAATGTGAGAGGTTTTTGTAGGTATTTGGATTTGAATTTAGCTATTATATATTCCCCATGTTCATCCCTTGTGCAAGTATTAGTGATATTTTCTAGTTGGTCTGAGTAGTATATGGCTGTGCCACCCCCTTGTTGGTCTGGCCTACAGTTGTGTATGGCTGTGTAACCAGGAATGGCATAGACATCTGTACTATCAGGCTTTAGCCAGGTTTCAGTTAGTGTAATGATGGACATATTGGCATGTAAGGAATTTAGTAATGCTATGAGGTCATCGTAATGCTTGCTTAAAGATCTGATATTGTAGTTAAAGATAGTTATGTTGTTGTTGGCACTGAGAAGTGCCTTTGATTGTTCTGCAGTGTAGTAATTACAGTAACTGTTTGATTCATCACATTCATCACCCATGCTTCACACCCATACAAGAGTGTTGGAATAATTATACTTTCATACATTCCCTTACACAAATAACCCGCACATAAAAGAGAGAAGCTTACAACGACGTTTCTGTCCGACTTGGACCATTTAAAAAGTTACACTAACCAGAAGTGGAGCAGGATGGCTATATATAGGCAGGAAGATGTGGTGGTAGTAGCAGTAGTAGTACAAGAATGGTATATAATACCGACAAGATGAAATTAAGACACATGCTGTCCTGCTCCACTTCTCGTTAGTGTGACTTTGTAAATGGTCCAAGTCGGACTGAAACGTCGTCATGAGCTTCTCTCTTTTATGTGCGGGTTATTTGTGTATCGTTCCAGTCACGGTATTGTGCTTTTTTTTCTTATTTATACATTCCCTTCTTTGCCTCCAAGGACAAAGTTCTTTGTCTCCACAGAATCCGAAGTGCACCACTCACCCTTTTTCCCCTCATCAATTCTATGATTCACCTCATCCTTCATAGACCCATCTGCTGACACGTCCACTCCTAAATAT